TACATATATTTGGGTAATTCAAATGTTGAAAGTATGTAACAACGGGGTTTTTAACATATATTTAGATGATCCAGATTTTTACATGATATAATTAGAGGGGCACTAAGTAGAGCGCATACCTCCACCACACAGCGTTAATTATATTCGTCTCTCAAAAAATACGAACATGTATCCGTATGTCCGTCTTTATCAACGGACTCGGACTATTTTTGGCAGGACAATGAGGAATAACATTTTACATATGCCTACCAAATTCTATCAAAATCCGATCATTTTTGACTGAGTTACAGAGCAAAAATAATGTGAAAAATTGGTACCCATGTTAACAGATAGAGATTTTTTGGATTTTCGAGACCTTACTGTAACCTTGACCCTCCCAAACCAAATACTTCTAAGTTGGATCATAGTTCAACTTTATACCAACTTTCGTCAATATACATTCAGCCGTTTTCGAGAAATCTTGCTGACAAAAACACATACAGGGGTGAAACCATGACCCCTGTCCAACTTCGGTGGCGGAGGTAATAATAATTTTTTTAGGCATGTCTAGATTATCAGCATTTTTAACACTCTATGACAACTGTTGTTTGAAATATATTTGAGTGATCCACAATCTTGCATCATGAGACAACAATTTCTTACATACAATTGAAAGATTTACATTATACTGTTATGTGTCAACGATGTTTTAACATACATTTAGGTAATCCAACATTTGACGTTGTGCAAAGACAATGCAATCTATTTAAATTATCTAAAATTTAACTTTATATGACAAAATTATTTTTACACGTCTTATATATATATATATATTGCGAACCGTGGTGTATGTCCGAGCGTTCGTCTGTCTCCAGTTTACAGCGGCCGCTTGAAAAGCTCCACAGGCGTCCTCCGGTGGTACAGGGGAAAGTCTTCAGATTTACAATGCTAAAATCAGGGGTCCGATTCCCCTCGGTGGACACAGCAGATAGCCCGAAGTGGCTTTGCTACAAGAAAACACACACAGCTCCACAGGCAGGCAAAGCTCAACATTCACTTTTGAAATGATGGAGGAACATGCATGAATAATGTTAATAAATTATATTTCAAAAGTAGGATATTCTTCACTAAATTGTTAGGAATTAATCACACTATCATTCACGTTTCAAAATGTGACGTAACTTAAAGAATAAAAATGTAGATTTACCGTATGTTATTGTTGAGCTGCTCTTAGCATTACTGAAATGCTCAACAATTACTTTTCGCGGTGGGCGGTATAAGTAGCTAAGAGGTT